GTTGGAGGATAGAAACCTCCAGTTTTGACTGACCCACCTGTTTTGGAATTAGTTCAGGTGTTCGGCAAGGCACTACTCGCGTGGCCGAGTTGAAGTCGCGCACCCGAATCTAGAAACGATCCGTAGGTCGATAGGAATTGGTATGACTAATTGTATGCTATACTGGATTCAGTAATTTATTCAGGGAAATACTAACTTCCACACTTAATTCAGAGCATCATACAAATTCCTATTAGCCCAGCGATCACTACTCGGTTTGGGTGCGCGACTTCAACTCGGCCCCGCGAGTAAACCATGGGTGCTTGTGAGTTCAAAACTTGGATTGATAAGCCGAAACCCAAGATTTGAAAAATCATCTCTAGAGATAATTTTTGAACTGAGAAATCATGGCTGCCTCCTAGATAAGGTAAGGGCTATTGCACTAGTACCTTTAAGATAATTTACTTATTAGTACTAAATGTAAAGGGGGTCGTTGCCATCCAAAACATACCTCATCTCTAGTACCTCAACAATGTTCAATCCCAATATCCTCAATCCTACTACATTACTTCTTAATGTATCTGCTACAGGAGCCTGGTGTTTTAACAGTACTGCTATCGTTCATTGGAGATCATGATGATCTGATAGGATGTTGTTGTTACATGCAACTAAAATGGCTAATGGCTATTCTAGCGTATAATAGAAATTTCACCCTATCCCTTTGCTCCTTTTCAAGCACAAGGCTAACTAACTTCCGCACTATGTGAACATTAAAAATTTCTTGCTACCGCTATTGTCACTAGTAAGCAATGCCGTTGTTGGTTACTAGAAATTCGCAGGTGTGTACACTTCAGGATGCCCGTTCCTATAGATACACTAGGAACAAATGAGAACTACCACAGTAACCCAAAGCATGCTCGGTCATAGATGGTGAGAGTGGTGGCCGGATTTCCTGAATTTCAGCTGTCTAGGAGATAGCGGTTGCAACCACCTCTCCCAAACAGGTAGACTATCACAGCAGTGCTTCCCACACTCACTAAAGTGACTAAAAGTGTGTGAAACTTGGGAATGAACAAAGGGACGTTTTGAGAACCGAACATACAACCAGCTTTCTTCAAGCCATGGCTACCCCTCTCACTTGCCATTAAACTCATAAAACATAGCTTGATAAACCTGTTGTTTGGTCTCCTCCTACCGGCCGAACAGGCCCTAATTCTACACGAGTGATGTCCGGCGTGCAACAGTAGTAGGTTACGGGGAACTTGGGACAGGTAGTAAAGCTCACAATAATCGCGGTTTCCGGGCTACCATCTCTCGCCCATCCCGTATCAATGCCCTGGATATAGTGAGGGGAAGGAGGCTGTTCGTAGATAGATATCTTGGAGGAAAATTATGGCATATTTGACTTTCACTCTTGTAGTGTATGTGTTAAAATTTGAGCAATTCAGGTTTCGTTGATCAAGAGAATTGTTGTTATTCTTGCTGGGGGGAGAAGAAAGAATGTTAACATTGAAAAGAAAGAAGTAAGCGAGAAGAAAATGGGACTGCTTTTTCAAGTATGTCCCACCAACCAGTCATGCAACACCACACACCAGACAATTCCCAACTACGCGATCAAGCCCATGGTATCATCCCAGTTCCTCATAGCCCCATTGGAACACTAAGTGCTTTTACATATAACCAGCAGCTTCTAACAGTATGGGTGGTGGTGAGGCGTCGGGATTTCCGGATTCCGGTGTGAGGTGTCGGGAGCGAGAGCGGCCTTGTATGGGAAAGAGACATCCCAACCTGCTTCACTTGCCATCGCGTTGCCCTGGATGGCCGTTCGGTGGGTATAGCATAATGTCGGGTATGTTTAGTGATGGACACGATCATGCTCGATCATAAAGTTTTGGTGTGCTCGAGCACTATTTATGATCGAGCATAACCCAAATTTTATGATCGAGCATGATCGTGTCCATCACTAGGTATGTTACGTCCAATAGCCCAGAAATCCGCCGCCTAGTCCTGGGAGAGTCTTGACTGGATCAAATTAAGTGAGGGTAGGAAAGCAGCAGCGACATTTGTGTTGCGTCCTTTCTGTTTCTTCGGCATATTTGACCTTTCACCATACCGGGAAATATGATGCTGCTGCGAATGTGGACAGTTCTCTATGTATAGAGTACAAAGTTTGAAAGGACCCATACTAGGTGGTGGGAAAAAGGCTGGTGAAATGACTGGGAATATGTTGTCCTATCGATTTCACTTTATCAAAGTTCAAGGAGGAATTTTTATCCCGTGGGGTTTTTCCTGGTTGTGGTTCATGTATTTTCATTCGCACTGTGATCCAGGAGATGGGTGGATTAGGCTTTGTGGAATTCACCTAGTCTCTAACTGTTAAATATACTTGTATGATCCAGGCTCCCTACCGGCTGTTAGTTTATCTGGCTTGAAGTAACTCGGAGAATGGGCAGAGCGGGGGTAAGCGTGAAATTTCCTGGCTGAAAATAGGTGACTGAATCTGGATGATTTTGAAACTCCTTAGCGCTCTAGAAACCGCTCTATTGTTTTTTTTTTTGCTAGGAGCGTTGTATGTATTTGGTATAAAGCTTTGAGTTTGGGGGTACAATCCTTAGAGGCACTATACAGCATGGCTTGTAGATTTTTGTTCGGGGTCTTAGAAGTTAGAAGCAAGTTAGAATGGATAAAGACAAAGTATGTGGAATGGGCTAGCTTTATGGCATGTAGTTAGGATACATGGTTTGTGAGGACGAGGTTAATTCTTGCGCTTGTATGTATCCTAGGTGAAGGGCTGTCCGCGAAAGAAACATTTACAAGGGCTGTGGTGTAGTCTCTGTTGCTCCATGCAGTATTGGACCGGATAGATTTTGTGTTCTTGCCCGGGTTATATAATAGAAGGTTTTAGAGAAAAAGGGGGAATGAAATTTATTCGCTACAGCAGGAGAGGCAAAAAAAAAAAAGAACTAGTAGCCAGAATCCGGAATTTCACCGTTGAGCGAGAACTTGTTTGCCGTGTGCTAAATGCACTCGAGACGCAAGCGTTACAGGACAGCTCCGACACAGGAATTCATTGCAGCCAGGGTGGTTACGGGGCACTGACCCCTTATGGATCAGCTGTACCATAATCGAATCCTTATCTGCGTCTTCTGTGGAGCGCCTGATGCCTTTGGGATGCATCCGCAGCAGGGTTAAAAATTAATCCTTTCAAATATATAAGCAATTCCCTTAGAAACTCCGGCCGAGCCAGAATCAATTCCTCAAATCCGGATTCCCCCCGCAGCAACTCCAAGTTCCAAGAAGCGTATTGCGCCAGAAATTCTAGGATCGGACCCGAGCTAGGAAGGTTGTCATATGCATATTCTATTATTAGAATAAGGCTAGCGGCATCTTCCTTGCTCCTTGGCTCAAAGGCGCTGATCTCGGTGTAGAATTTCGATTCTGCGAGCTGTTTTAAGGTGGGGATGTTGAATTTATCTGAGAATACGCAAAGCTGAAGGTGCTTATAGAGGCTTAACCATGGATTATTTTTCGGTCCAGTAGCGAGCGGCACATCGTCCTCGTGGGTATAGTCTCCACTGTATGCCCATTTGGTGAAAAGAGTGAAGACCTCTTCTTCCTCATCCGGTAAATGTATTATGCCCTCGATGCCCTCTTTCATGTCGTTGTTGACGTGCTTGTCGAGCTCTGGGGATATGCTCGCGAAAAGCTTTTTATGCATTTCCATTCTCTTGCCAAATTTCCCGACGTGCAATGTGACGGTTCCGTCAAACAGGAAGCTAGTGAGCAAAGGTTAGTCATGGAGCTCAAGAAGAAAAATTTGGAATAGCAGGGCGAGTTGGTCTAACTCTTTGTACTTTGGGAGGTCTTTAATTGTGAGACCGCCGTCGCCTATGCCGCTGGAAGAGGGAAAAGACATAAGATTTGGATGATTGCCGAATGCTCGTTGGGAAACTGTGGGCCGGCTATAGTGGCGAGCGCAATATGAGAGTTGGCAAAGAGGGTGCGGGTTGGTGGTGAGATTGAAACTTGGTTTATCTGTACGGAAAGGCGCAGGCTCCAAATCCGATCCCTAGAATGATGAGATAAGCAGGCTTCGGATCTGCAACTCTATGCAGTGGCTAGGCAGCTTTTTTTATCCAGAGGAGTGCTTAATATTTCACTAGTTTTGTAAGGCTAAGTCACCAGGCCACATCTGGATTGGGAGGCTGGGGAATCCGTGTTTGTCGGTATTTTATGGGAGGAGTGACTTGGTGTCGTACTTTATGAATAGTGTATCGCTAAGTAAGGGTATTCAAAGTTGAAAAGATGATTTTTCAGTAACGAGTAACTACCAGAAGGTGCATTAGGTTACTTTATGGTGTTAGCCAATCATATCCATATGTTTCATGTAGCATATTTGAATGCCCCAAGGTAACCGAAGGTAGAGGGTAGAAGTTTTCACAGATCATACCAATACTGAAATTTTTAGCATTTGTTAACAAGATGCCCAAGTGGAGAGATTTTTGTCAGAGAAAGCACATAATTATTTTTAAAGTGTGCAATAATATTTTAAGATTTTCCTCTGATTTTTTTAAATTTTTTTTCTAGATCACATATCATATTGAAGTTCTGGTGGAGTTCAGTTGATATGAATTTTGGAGTAGATACAGACCTCCTGACCTCCATATCTAACCAAAAAAAGTATGGTATGGTAAAGTAAAATGAGAGTAAAGTAACTGTTTTT